AAGCAAACCGATAAGGTGTCACTAAAGTCTTCCTGTTTTCTTGATTGAAACGTGATGTTCACGAAAGTCGCCTCGATGGATAAGATAGAGTTAATATACGTGGCTGTGGTATTTGTTCTTTGCTGAGTCCCGTAGTTTTTTGTAAATTGTCCTCCAAAGTTGTCTCAAATTTAAGTCTTAAAAAGTGTCACGACAGGCCTTAGCTCGATTGAAATTTAATTTCCGTAAAACTCTTAAAAAATAAAGAGATCCGATCAAAAGGACTGTGGTTTTAGAATAGGTAAATGAATGTCTTACAACACACAAGAAATGAGCTAAATCTGTGTCTCAAGCAAAATCGACCGGACCGCTCTTACAGTGACACTCTCTTAAACGTTGTTCGAATAAGGATTTCTTTAACATTACAACATGGGGTAATTCAGGACGAATAAGCAAAAATATAAAGTAGTTATGAAACAAACTAGGCTTACCATGTGAGGCCCAGAAGAAGGACGAGGGCGGCGTGGATCATTTTCCTCGTCAGCAACCCTGCCCGGCTCTTTTGGTGGCGGTGGCGGTTTTGATAGCTTATGTTCCTCGTGGCACTCATGGATACACTTTTTCTGCAAAAGAAAGCATAATAACGAAGTAACCTTCATTGTTTTACTGAACTTAGTCCATCTTGATTCCCGGATGAATGGAAACCACTTTGTAATCGACTGACTGTTCTTCAACGGGATTTAGATTTGGGTTGATCTTTGATTTGGCTTATGCGCTTCGAGGCACTCCTTCATACGCTTGTTCTACAAAAGAAAGCATTGAAAATAATGAACCATCACTTTATTTTCATGAACTTAGTTTTTATCTTGATGCCCGGATATATATGAATATCACTGGATTTAGATTTGGCAAATATGCCATACTACAATGATAAGTTAATTTGTTTTCATTCTGGCGGATTATAATCGAGCAAAATTTACAAGCATCGCTAAAAGTTTCCAAGACAATTCAATTCAACTGTCAACGGAATATTACTTAGTTTAGTATGTAAATATGTTCTACAATTTTTAACCTAGAAACTAATCGATATTGCATTTTATTATTGCTTGTAAATAGTTCTTAGATTGTACACGTCATTTACGCCTTTTATTCGTGGGAATTGTCGCGTATAGGGCTAACCTCATGATTTCTATTACAAGAGCTGAGGTATTTTTTTTTCTTTTTGACATGCTATTAAGCTCTACAATAAAGTATTGTGATTGTGATTGTGAACACTGAAACACTCCTAGAAACCGAAAAAAAAAAAAAATGAATTTCTAGCTAGAGAATTTATTTAACTTTACAACAGGAAACAATTTGGTTGAAATTAAGGAGGGGGGACTTCCATGTAAAATGGTCCGGGATGCTTGTCGGAAAGTTGATGACTTTAATGCTGAAATGGTGGTGTTTTTTCCCGGAAACCCTAAGCAAGACCAAAATCCTTGATATAAATCCCAAAGCGAGACGACGAGCATTGCCGATCTTTTCACATAGGCGTCCCCCCTTCTTCATCGGGTAATTTGGGGCGAACGAGTAAGGATATGAAATAGCTATAAAGCAAGCTGAGCTTACCGCGTTAGGCGGTAAAGAAGGATGATGTTGACGATGGTGAGGATCGTTTTCCTCTTCAACTAGTTCGCCCGGCATTGTTGCCTTCTTGCATTTTCCCATGCACTTTTTCTGCAAAAAGAAGAATAATGGTGTAACTCTCATTATTATCATAAACTTAGTTTCTATCTTGATCCCCGGACTAATCTGTCTGATAACTTGGGCGCCACTTTGAGATTATGTTTTTACCAGATAACTGAACATTAGAACATCACCAAACATCTTGATTAAATGACGAATTAATTGGCAATGCCGTCTGGCGGAATTAAAACGGACGACTTTTGAAACATTTCGGAAAATTTCCAAGGCTCGACGCTCCTTTAAGGTCCTTCCCAGTATTGCATTGCGTATCCCTACTGCGCATAATTTCACGCGTGATTAGCGCGCGTGCATTAAAAAATAGCGGCTTTTTCTTCACAGCTGGACCTCGCCATACAGGTAAATCGTAATTTTCTCGCAAACGAGTATGNATAAACAAGGTGCTTTTGCTACTAAACGAACATGGGGACCCCTCTTTTTTATTTCAAAATTTAAGTTCCTGTAATATAAACAATCGATAGGCAAAGTTTCACAAAAATCTCGGTGCAGGTTCTATTTCAGCGGGATGACCTTAAATGACTATCAACCATCGATAAACTCGATTGAGACCACCAAAATCTTCATAGAAAAACTCAAGAAAACAAATAGGCAAATCACACTGTTGATAGTAGATTTTAGAGTTTTAGATTTTTATTTTTTTGCTCTATTTACAAAAATTATAACTTTAACAGTATTTACAGAAATTACATTAATTAAAAAGAGAAAAGAAATATAACAGTAAATAGCCAAATTGAAATGTGCTCAGTGACCAAAGTAGCAGAGGCTTTCGTGTTGGTCACTGACACGTACAAACAATAATTGACACGACATATCAATTATATTAATATCAAAAAAGTAGAAAAGGAAAAAATTTATACACATGAACAATAAACGCGTAAAAGGATGTCAAAACGAAGATAACCTATATGCAGAATATAAGCAGGCTATGCAGAAGAGTAGGATTAGGATTGGTCCTTTAAGCAAACAAAAGCAACTACAAAAACCTTGGATCTCAAAGGGGGTACTTTCCTTAAGATTGCTAACACAAGTTGGGGACGAAACATATACATAAAGCAAACTATTCAAGCTTACCAAGACTGGGTGAGGCGCTTTATGGGGTGGATCATTTTCAACATGGATCTTGGCCAAGGCGACGGTAGTTCCAAGAAACAGGACCAGTATTAGAGAGTTTATTTTGGGCACTGCCTTTGCTGGTTCGCAAAGAAATGGGATTAGCACGGCTCATGTCCGCTCATTTATAAGCCTGTGAGATTGGGATTGCATCTAAATTAACAAATTGGAGAACAACGAAGTCTTTGTTGAGGCGTGGTTTGCTTCCTAAGCAGCGTGCAGAAGGTAAACAGTTTTCTCAGCTGATATCAATAGTGAGGCTTTATTTACTTACTGTACGCACGTTTCCTCGCGTTGTTGAACTTAAGTCGACTTTTCTCTTCAAAAGAACTCACACTTGACAATTTTTTGAGTATTTTCATATTTTCCTCTCTTGGTGAAGACCGACAGTCACTTTGGTCACGTTATCACCTTGGCTTCGTGTTGTAGATGTACAGAGCTCAGTACAAATGCATTGTCAGAGTAAATTAACATAATAAAATTGCTTACTATCCTTTGGGCAAATAAGAGTTTTATTTAAACAAAGCACTGCAAACAAAGGTATCTTCACGAAAACGGTATATTTTGTTTGTGTATGTGGAGGAAAACACAAGTTTACTTTGTAGATACAAAAAAATATTCACAACTGTATTTGAACCGTTAAAACCTTTGTAACCTCCCTTTCCATCACCTGCCTCGTTTTCCTCAGTTAACTCCAGTTTCCTTCTTGAGATAAACAAGCTTAGTTAATTAAAAACACTTTTTAATTTGCAAGGGCCATGCGTACCACAATTAAAATCACAAAACGTCTTTTTGGTTGAAGTCGTCCTTAAACATAAAACATTTAATTTTGCGATTAAAAGCAGTTAAGATAAAAAATATCTTCATGAAACGGAATATTTTTCTTTTGTGCAAGATGCAAACACAGTCACTTCTGGCAAACATAGAACTCACAAGGTTTATTCTGCAAACACAAAGATCCCTTTACAGTATATGTTTGCACTTTTATAACACAAGAAATCCAGCTGTTATTACACATAAAGAACAGCTGACACAAGCTTGTGCCAATATCACGTGTAAATCTGTTCTTGCTTCACTTAAAAATGAGGTAGAAATCTATATTTTGCATTGTTTTTGACTTGAATTTATCAGGCCTAGTTGATTTGAGATTTCTTCTCTCAAGTTCCTCTGTCGTTTACGATTGTTGTATACCTTCAACGTGAAACTTCCCAAAATATAAAAATCGCGTTGAATAAAGATGATTTATACCTTCAACAACAACAGCAACATCAGCTTTATTTCTCCCTTGTTTTTTAAAAAATTAAATTAAATAGTAGTAAAATAATCAAATTAAAATAAAGGATAAATGACAACCTGAAATAACCTGAAATAGTGCCAGGTTGCCAGTTAATTACATATATATTACAATTTTTAGTCGGTAGCTAACTTACAATTCGCAATCGGTACCTTCCAGTTTAGACCGAAATTATTTAATTCATTTTTCGGAAAAGCTAATATAATCTTTGAATAGCTCTATTTATAAGCCTTATTTGATAATTATTTTATTTGTCTTAGGATATCTGCGTGCTACATTCTTTGGACTGGACACACCCCTGAAGGTACATGGTAACCTTAGTTTTATGAAGAAGAACTAGAAAATACAAAAGCAATTTATATTAAAGTGTGAACACAGAAAGCGTGTTTACAAGCTTTCATTTCTGTATCTCTACGCAGTAATCACTTTAATTACGTGTTTTTTAACGTATTATTAAAGGTTCTACTTTTCAAAATGTATTTTTTCTTTCATGTCTTACTTTGTAAGTCTTGAGATACTATACCGTAAAATCCCACTTTAAAGCCACCCCCTTCCCCCGTTATCAGCGCCCCCACCCGGATGTAAGCCCATCTATTTGCTAACAAAGATATTATTCTGGATATAATCTCCCCAGATATAGGCCCATCTAGTGTATAATTGCGTTCCTTAAGCGTTTCTTTACAAACATCAAAATTTTTAGTCGAAAGTTCTAGGCATAAACAAGTGGCTGTGGAGTTTAGAACAATAATTATAACGATACCAAAAAAAGAAGCAAGTCTTCATGCTTATGTGACATGCTTATGTGCTCAGTGCTTATAGGCTAGGGCATCCCTAAGACGATGTGTAGGGTATTCGGCCCTTTTTTTTAACGTTCTTTCTCAGATATGTAGTTTCCCAATCGGTCCCCCGAAATAGTTGGACATCCATATATAGAAGTACTACAGAGCCACAACTGAAAGCTTGACCTATGCAATTCTTTTATAACGTAGCGACCAAATCCCGTCGGAAAGAAGCCCGCAACAGAGAGCTTTTTGGTGGGATGAGTCCAAGTCTCTGTCGTGCTTAGTACAGTACAGATAAGCCAACTCTCTGTGCTCCAAACTCCACTAAATGTCCCGGTCATTTTATCATTATCAGCCGCATGCAAACGTTACATATTCCGGCAACCTCCCATGCAAATTAAGCAGACCTCTTTCTTAAGTGTACAAGATTTTTGGTCGGTGACGGCTCTTGACGACGAGAAATCACTTTAGGTGTGACAACTTAAACACCCACGCTCACAGACAAGGAAGTTCCGAAACAGGAATAGCTGGAACATGAAGTACTATCCCACGCTGCTTTGCGCCCTTATGTTGTGATCCAAGAGTCCATTTGAGATCCTTTTTCGCGCCTAAAATCCTAACAAGTGTTTTGCTCGTGGGAGTAGAATCACCGAGCACCAGTCTTCCTGATCGTGGCCACTTGAGGGCGATGGTGAACACACGGTTGTCTTTAGATGTGTACCTGTAAAATGGAAGAGATTAATTATAGACCTAATAAAGTCATGGAAACCAAGGCTTTTTTCGTGTGCAATTTAGGTGGCGAAAAAAGGGAAATTGAATTTCCACGGTTATTTCAAATCATTCGCTCGAACGAACTAACACGATTTCACACCAGTTTAGCAGAGAAAATTCCGGAAGTAATATCTTTCTATAGCGGTGGAGTATGGGATATACTTTAGCGAGAAATGAATCTTTTACGGTTGTTGCAATAACCATGCACTATTGGAGAAATGAGTACTAGTTTTATCTTCCTATTACTGTTGAATATTTGTTTTTCTTGTTGTTCTTCAAAGCCGAACAATTTCAATAACTCCGCACTTGCATATAATTTGCATGTATCTGTTCACCCACAATACAACTCAATAGAGTGGAACCCCCGTTAATCCAGTCACCAAGGGGCCAGTATTAAAAGGGTGGCTGTATTAAAGGGTAATTTAAATATGAAAATGTTTGACTGAGCTGTTGTTCGGAGCAGAGTAAAGTCGTGGCCGTATTAAGGTGGAAAACAGTTTCCAGCACTTAGATTTTGATGGGTCGTTTATAACCACTCTTTATCACTTGATGCTACAATCATGGTATCAAAAAGAACTCACTGGTTTCCAAATCATCTGGTGTCTGACTTTGAGTCAATGTTTTTCCAATGAGGCCTAATTTTGGGAAAATCATCATACCACTTCATTTAGCTCTAACGCTTGGGCCCTTTTGACAGATTATATATGTTAACGTTTGACAATGTTGCTTACGATTAAAACCGTGCAGCAATTAAGGGATGATGAGCAAAGATATTATTAAGAATAAAGTAAAATGAGCTTACCAACGGCCCAGGCAAAAAAGTAGAACGATGACTAGTGGGACTAGGACGGACAGGATCGTTGTCCTCGTCAGCTAGCTCTTCCGGGATTTTTGACGGCATATTTAACGGCGTTAACTGTTTGAGACACTTTCTGATACACTTTTTCTGCAAAATGAAACAAAATAGCACTTGCGAAAAGTCAAATGCCAGCATCAAAAAATTCCCAGCTACTCAGTAAAACAATATTGTTACTGTCATAAACGTTGTTCGCATGACGATTTCCTTAAGATTACAGCATGCAGCCATTCTGGAGCAAAGGATTTTAATCCTTTTTTGTGACATTGCACTGAGGTTAACTATTTAATATATTTAAAAATATATTGGTAGTTAATTTTAGTGCAATGTCACAAAACAATTTCAAATGACAATCGTAGAGAACTCGTAAAGGAAACATTAAAATGTTTGAAAATGTTAAACGTTGTTCGCATGAGGATTTCTTTGAGATCACATCTTGCTGTAATTTGGGACCTGATGAGTAAAACTATTAAGTAGTTAAGAAACAAATTTGGCTTACCACAATAGGCCCAAA